TGTATGAAATAGAAAATTGTTTAAATAAATTTCAAATAAATCATTAATGCTTGAAAGCCAAGGTCAAATGTTTTTAACATTTAGAAAAAAACACACATACATACACATATATCACTTTTTGATTTTCATTTCATTTTGATTTATGCCAGTACTAAATTAAGTACAAAAAATGTACCTAAAGTGTAACTAAATTATTTTTAAATATTTTTTTTATAAACTGTAAAATTTCATCTTATATGTTTTTTAAGGTTAAATTCATATTTTTTTTTGTTAAACATTTTTCTATAACTTATTTTTCTTTCTTATGTTAAATAAAATGCTTCAGTGCCTTGATACCACCGTTGGTTTTATGTCTTTTTTTTGTGCAGATTCTTCTGAATGTGAAGCCGTTGCTTGGTGCTTTTTTGTGTGTGTGGTTTAATTATTGTTATAATTATTTTTGTCTACAACAATTATGTAATACACATTTTGCTTCAAAATTTAAACTTCAACATATTTCTAGTTAAACATTGAACCTTAAAAAAATTCTAGGAAAATAAAAAATAATTGTAGTAAATAGAAAAAAAAAGTACTTTTTGAAGGGAAAAGTACCTTTTAAGGTTTCCTAGACAATTAAACTTAAAAACGACAAAAATTTTCATAGGAGAACTTCTAGTACAAACAGGATTCAGGAAAAGTTTTTCAAAGAGATACAAATTTTATATTTCTTTTTAAAATGTTTAACAAGTAGAAGTGTGACAAATATTTATTTTTTTAGTTTTTTTATATATTTAGTCCGCGTGAGAGGGGGGGTATATACTTAAGGAACAGAAGTCAAAGTGCTTTACTTGAACACCTGCCTCGTGGCCTATTTCAAGGCGATACTATTTCAACCACAGGATGAGCTATATAGGACTCACCACCGCCCCTTTGTGACTTTCAAGTAATATGTAGATGACTAGGTACATGGCTTCTCTGGACCATGTCCTTTGCTCAAGTACTCGAGCTATCTAATCACTGACTTCCGTTTCGTTTACAACCAAACATATGGACTAGCATCGGTTACTTGGTCAAAGTATATACATACGTATGACAACACTATGTAATAGCAACGGATTGTTTGTCAATAGTGAGCTTACCACGTTTGTTAACATTTAGACAACGGATGTGTATAAAATTTAGATTTCGACAACGAATTGTTGGAATGTTGTCAACATTACATAGTGTTGTCGAACGTATGTATATACTTTGCCAACGGATGGTATTGCAAATTTATAAACAGTTTGGTGTCAATTTGGTACCAGTCGTGTATATTTCTCTTTCCCTCTGTGTAGATCTTACTCACAGAGAACATACTGTTATAAGTCTGGTATGAGTAGAATTAACTCTGAACATACTTTCCCTGAAAAGGAAACCTTTCTTGATGTCAACTGTTAAAGATGCGCCACATCCATCACCATTCAACCCAGAGCACACTTCTCATTTATGCGACACATTTATAGAGAAAACATCAGACACATTCATTCTAGGACCATGAGTGGAGGGAGCCTACTCATTCTCCCCCATTTTGTGTCCAACCAAAACCAACAATTGCACTCCAAAGGGACTTCTCAATAACGGGGATGAGACAATGTCTTATGGCTACGGGTTTCTGTAATATCATATAGGATAGGCCCGACCACAGGTCAAATTATTCCAATGAATGGCCGAGGATTCAAATGACACCACCAGTTTATAGGTCCGGCAGACTAGAGTTATTGTTAGCACATCTTTTACCTCGGGATTGCAATACACCAACATAGTTGAAGCTTCAAGACAAAGCCCTATGAGATAGGCCCGACCCCAGTTCAAATCTCGGGATTGCAATACATCAAGATAGTGGAAGCTTCAAGACAAAACCTTATGGGCTACCGATTCCTATGATATCATATAGTATAAGCCCGACCTCAAATGATTCCAAGGAGTGGCCGAGGATTCAAATAATAGCACCACTTTATATGTCCGGTAGACTAGAGGTAATTTTAGCACATCTTTTACCTCGGGAATGCAATACACCAAGATAGTGCAAAGCTTCCATTAGGTAACATGTTTGTAATTTCAAAAATACACTTTTTCGACCCTATAAAGAATATATAAATATATATTCCGAGTACTTATAGATATCGGACTCGATCCGTGACCGTCTCTCTAGCCATATGTATGTTGAAATCTGTTCTCAGAAGACTCTAGATATCTGCGTGATCCAAATCTTCAATAATTCAATCAAACATGCTTTCAAAAAGTTTTCTATTTAAAATCAGCATCATAGGTCCATAAATAACAGATATATGAGCAGAATTGCCAAACATCCCAGGAAAAAATTATGTTTTTTATTACAATTCTAACACACAGATACATACTTACTCATAGCAGCTATTTTAAAAAAATGTGGCACAAGTCTTTTTTTTTTGCATTCAGAAACTAATATAATTAAATTTATTTTAATCCTTTCAAAATTTCATATAGCTCCCACAAAATAGATTTATTTTTAATAACTACCTCTAGAATATCGGTATTACTACACATATACATAAATCTAAAATGAATAGAAATAAATCCTGGATCGGTCAATAATTGATCATAGTTCCCATCTAAGGTGCATTTCCGAATATCAATTAAACGATCATAACACAGTAACAAATAACCATATCGATACCCAGCAGTTCGGTCGGACAGTCCCGAACTCCCTATTTAACCTACCACATAGGGTTACAACTAGCCACCGACTGTCCAGGTGACTAGCTATTTTAACATGTGCTTGTCCTACGAGGAAGTCAATCGTCACCTCATAGATTACGAAGAGGCAGACAAGTGCTTTTTAAGTGTCCCCTGTTTCGCTTACAAAGGGGACACTAATGTGACGATTATCTTCACCCTCGTTTACAAAGAGTACATCCGTGACGAAAGACGTATTAGAGCCAATCAGATGGTTAGACATTAGTGGAAATCACTGTCTTTTTCGGATGCATTGACTCTTTGTCGAACTGCAGGGTACAAAATTTAACACAGACATATGAAGTACATACACAAATCATTCTGTGAAATTTTTTACCGGATAGGTCCATAATCGGTCATAGGTTGCATATAAAGTCCACTTCCGAAATTCACTTATTCATGAATAATTCATGAATTATAGATGATATGGGGATAAAATTCGATTCTAATGTATTATGTATATATACAAAACATTCTGTAAAATTTTTCTCCCGATCGGCCCATAATTGGTTACAGCTTTGATATGAAGGTACTTTTTGTACTTTTTAGTTTCTTATTTTGTACTTTTAGTTTTTTTCTTGTAATATTGAACCTTGAACACGAAAATTAATGAAAAAATTAAACATTCCATTCTATAGAATGGAATTTTTTGTACTTTTTCTTATCTCAATTGATACATTTTGAGTTTTCTATAATACTGAATCTTGAACTATGAAAATAAACATGCAGAGGCCCGAGTAAATGAATATCTATGTATATAAAGGTACTTTCAAGTACGAGTAAATGAATATGTATTTAAATAAAAGTACTTTCTGGTACTTTGAGTTTTTTGTAATATTGAACCTTGAACCTAAACATATAGACCCTGAGTAAATGCGAATCAATAAAAGGTACTTTTTGCTACATTTATGTTTTTCCTGTACATTATGGATCCTCAACCGGTACTTTTAAAATTTTCTGCAATTAAATCCAGAGGAAGTTATTAGTCTATATCGAACAAATTGATTATAATAAAGAGAAAGTCCTTTAAAGTTAAACTTATTGTTCCCACAAACTAACACTGGTACTCACGAAGTTATTAATGACTTATAAACGGTTTATTGAGCACTTATTCTATATAAAGTTGCTTCTATAAACTATTCATAAGTTAATTATTATCCTTAAGGAATACAGGTGTGAAAAATAACTAAACTATTAATGACTAAACTATTTAAAGTGAAATTAATTACTAAAAACCCTCTAGTGATTTCAATTTACCAACTCTGTTCTGACCCAATCTCATTTGAAATTGATATTAGTTATAGTAATTAAAAGAAAAAAAAAACTAAAATTTTGGTTAAAGTTCTTTAACTTTTGTTAAACAAATTGTTAAAGTTTTCTGACCTTGGTTTTTGGTATTGTTCGTGTTTTTTGTTTGTATGTTTATTATTCATTTCAAATACAATTTTCACATGAGGACTTAATGACTTTAAACGTGTAAAATAGTGGTTAAAACATGTGTGCAATTAAGTCTTTTAAAACCCCAAATGAATGTTTACGAATACATATACATGCAAAGATATCTAGACAACACATGTCTATACCACCACTTGTGAAAAATAGTTAGATTTTAACGGTTTATTTGTCATGGTATTGAACTCATTTTCATATACAAGTCACAAACACAAACACATAGATACATACTTACATACATATGTATATGTATGTATTTGTAAGTTCGCATGTATACCCATGTAGGTGTAACCACAATTTTGTTTATATTTTTATTTTAGTAATCTTTATTTATAAACTTTTTATTAAGTCATTTTTAAGCCAGTCTACCAATTTAGTTTTATTTAAAATTTGAAGTAATTTTTTCTAGATTTCTATTTGTATTTATTTAAAACCGTTAACTAGTTTGTTATTAACCTTTAAAATATGTGTGTTAATTATTAATATCCTGATTTGCTGTTGTTATTGTTGATGTTTACGCTTTTAAAAGTTATTAATTATCTTGTTTTTAATATAAACTAATAAAAATATTTTTCTTTTTTTTTTTTTAAGGTTTTTTATACTGTTGCACGCTATTCAAGTATTTAACATGTTAATGAAAATATTTTTTAAATTTTGCGGTTGTCTGCCCAGCGGATTTGTTAATGACAGAAAGTTAAAGAATTGTTTAAATATGTTGCTGATAATGTCACAGGTGAGAATTTGTGGAAATAATAAATCTATATGCACATATGTATGAATGTATATAAAAATGTACCCTTACTGACGAACAAAAAATGGGAAAACGGGTAAGTTCCGTAACTTCATATCTCCAAAAGAAAGTCGTCAATAGACTATAGAGTTGTCAATTGACTAGCATACAGATGATCTATATAGAGTAGTCAATAGACTAGTCCACAGAGTAGTAAACTGAGTAGTCAATAGAATATTATATAGAGTAGTCAATAGACTAGACTAAAGAGTAGTCAATAGACTATAGACTAGTCTATTGACTACTCTATAGACTATAGACTATAGAGTTGTCAATTGACTAGCATACAGATGATCTATATAGAGTAATCAATAGACTAGTCCACAGAGTTGTAAACTGAGTAGTCAATAGAATATTATATAGAGTAGTCAATAGACTAGTCTATAGAGTAGTCCATAGACTAGTCTATAGAGTAGTCAATGGAATAGTCTATAGAGTAGTCAATGGAATAGTCTATAGAGTAGTCAATGGAATAGTTTATAGAGTAGTCAATGGAATAGTCTATAGAGTAGTCAATATAATAGTCTATAGAGTAGCCAATAGAATAGTCTATAGAGCAGTCAATAGACTAGTCCATAAATCAGTCACTAGACTAGTTCATGGAGTAGTCTACAGAGTAGTCAATAGAGTAGTCTATAGAGTAGTTAATCGACTAGCACAGAAATCAGTCAATAGACTAGTCCATAGAGTAGTAAATAGACTAGTCTATAGAGTAGTCAATAGACTTGTCCATAAAGTAGTCAACAGACTAGTCTATAGAGCAGTCAATAGACAATAGACATGTCCATAGAGTAGTCAATAGACATGCCCATAGAGTAGTCAATAGACATGCCCATAGAGTAGTCAATAGACATGTCCATAGAGTAGTCTACAGTGTAGTCAATAGACAAGTCTATAGAGTAGTCTATAGTGTCATCAATAGACTAGTCTATAGTGTATAAATCAGTCAATAAACTAGTCTAATAGGCTAGTCTAAAAAGTAGTCAATAGACTAGTCTATAGAGTAGTTAATACACTAGTCCATAAATCAGTCAATAGACTAGTTCATAGAGTAGTAATAGAGTAAACTATTCATTATGTAGTCAATAGACATGCCCATAGAGTAGTCAATTGACATGTCCATAGAGAAGTCAATAGACCAGCCTATAGAGTAGTCCATAGAGTAGTCAATAGACTAGTCAATAGAGTAGTCAATAGACCAGTCTAAATAGTAGTCAATAGACTAGTCTCTAGAGTCGTCAACAGACTTGTCTATAGAGTAGTCAATAGACTAGTCTATAGAGTAGTCAATAGACTAGTCTATCGAGTAGTCGTTAGACTAGTCAATAGAGTTGTCAATAGACTAGTCAATAGAGTTGTCAATAGACTAGTCTACAGAGTAGTTAATAGACTAGTCTATAGAGTAGTCAATAGACTAGTCTATAAAGTCAATAGACTAGTCTATAAAGTCAACAGACTAGTCTATAAAGTCAATAGACTGGTCTATAAAGTCAATAGACTAGTCTATAAAGTCAATAGACTCGTCCATAGAGTAGTCAATAGACATGCCCATAGAGTTGTCAATAGACCAGTCTATAGAGTAGTCAATAGACTAGTCCATAGAGTAGCCAATAGAGTAGTGAATAGAATAGTCAATAGACTAGACTCTAGAATCGTCAACAGACTAGTCTATAGAGTAGTCAATAGACTAGTCTATAGAGTAGTCAATAGACTAGTCTATAGAGTAGTCAATAGACTAGTCTATAGAGTAGTCAATAGACTAGTCTATAGAGTAGTCAATAGACTAGTCTATAGAGTAGTCAATATACTAGTCTATAGAGTAGTCAATAGACTAGTCTATAGAGTAGTCAATAGACTAGTCTATAGACTAGTCTATAAAGTCAATAGACTCGTCCATAGAGTAGTCAATAGACATGCCCATAGAGTTGTCAATAGACCAGTCTATAGAGTAGTCAATAGACTAGTCCATAGAGTAGCCAATAGAGTAGTGAATAGAGTAGTCAATAGACTAGACTCTAGAGTCGTCAACAGACTAGTCTATAGAGTAGTCAATAGACTAGTCTTCTTGTTAACAAACTTTTCTGATCAATAGAAAGTATTTTGGGATAATTTGATACCCACCCATAGGGGCTTATATCGGGCTAACTTCCAAAACTAACTTTATAATATAATTTTCATTTAAAAATAAATAAAAGCAATATCATTTGAATTTCTTAAACATAAATACTTAAACTTGTCTGGTTAACAAAAATCACAAAAAACCCCAACTTGCGAAATTGAAAATTTTGTTTGTTTTTGATTTTTTTCTTCTTCTCTTTACTACAAAATACTTATACTAAACATTTACAGACATCATATAAATTGATCTTAAAATGTTCACAAAAAAAAATGTTTTTTTAAGCATCATCATTTTCATATTGTTTTAAATACCAAAATCCACGAAAAAAACTACAGTTTTCCGGTGAATGCGTACAATATTTTTGAAGTTTTTTTCTACTTAAAGAAGAAAAAAAAACTATAAAGAGCAGGCATTGAAAAAACACTCTAGATACAAAAAGTTAAGAATAGCTAACAAAAAAAAGAAAAATGAATAGAATAGCAAAATAATGATTAGAAAAATGCAATTATTATACATACTTAGTAAAGCCCCCCTATAGGCGAATCAATAAGAACATGTGAATAAAAAAAAAAAAAAAAAAACTGATGCAGTCAAAAATTATTATAAGACTCATCATCATCATCATTCTCAAGCACTTCATCACCATCATCATATTTATCATTCTCATTAAAGCAACATAAAGACCAGTAGTCAAGAGCAATATTTTTTCCTGTTGCTGCCGTTTTCATTCAGATCCATTCAAACAATATTGCGTATTTCCGTTATTTGTAGAAAAAATATGAATGGAAGCTAAAGAAGTGCAGCGGCAGCAGCAACTGCAGCTGAAGGAACGTGTTGATATTTGTAAAGAAGAAGAAAACCATAGAATCATTTAAGATTGGCTAATATTGGTTACGGTTCATGTGCCCTAACCTGACCACTTCACTTACCACTTACTGGTATATACTCAAGTATGTGTTATACATATGTTTCGATTTCTGTTATGTTTTTTCCAACATTCCCATTAAGCATTTATAATGCAGAAAAAATATAAATTTTTTTATATTGTTATTATGTTAGTTTGCATATTTTGCACGTAATTCTGAGTTAATGATTAAAATAATATTTTTTTTTTTTCTCAAGTTTTCCTTTTAATTTTATAGGCATAGAAAATTAACCGTTAAATAATTAGATTATTTCATATATTTTCTGTAAAATCATCGTGATTAATATTGCAAAACGTTCAGGGGTTCTAATTTAGAGCAAAGCATGCAAATATGCTAAAACAAAAGACTTAAGACACATACTTGTCTTGTCTTTGAGAGTAAAACAAAAGACTTAAGACACAAGCTTAAAATACGAAGTTGGATTAACAAAGAAGAATTCAGTACTGTATTTGTATTACATCAAGATCCAAAGAAGTACAATTAGGCCGCTATGGGACCTATTGTGTGCCCCTTGTCATGTAAAAGCGTGGTTAGGATAACCTTAAATAGTGTCCTCTGAAAGTATCATCCTCAGATGTTCACAATCTCAGTTTCTTAAATGTAGTTCTTACAATTGTCCAATCGGTGTTACTGAAGGATGTGATATCTGGATGAACATTACTCTAAAGGTATTTCGACATAATTTCGATGAAAGCCAAGCAATGACATAGAGTGTTCCAACATTTCACTATTGCCTCAGATTGTTTTGCCTAAAGTTGTGTCCGTAATCCTCCGTGTCTTCTTATAACACCATCATTTTAATCTCGTACTTGCTCTTTCTGAAAAGGCTTCTCGTTCTCCTTTCAGGAGGTTTACCCCATAGGATCTTTGTTATTCTACCCACGTCATGGTCTTATGGAATATTCTTTCATCCAGGTTAACTTACTCAAGTTCTCTTCCCTTTATAACAAGTACATTCGCTCTTTCGTTGCCTCTAATATCTGAGGGAGGAACCCTACTACCGGAACACATATAAAATTAACAAATATATTATTAAAGTTAGTTATTATCGCTGTTGGTTGGTTATCGTGGTAGTTCATTGCACGCGAACAGTCAAGTAGAGTCGAAGAGATTGCGTTTTGACCGGACCACTCTAATCGTCAGATGTAGTATTGTATTGTATTAGATCCAGACCGTAGCCGTGACAAGTCTCAAGATGTCATTAAGCTTAAACCAAGATATCTCACCAAGGTCACTGTCAAGAAAACTGTGCTTTCAAAACTATTGTCGCCGGGATCAATATCCCAGGCCAGCCGGCATCTCAAATTGATGATTTCTGGTTACTGTTGAGGTCCCTTCATGATACACAAATCTCGGTCAACAACACCACCATGGCGGTGAGACACCTTGATGAAAGATCCCATCTTGGTGTTATTGAAATCCCGGGGAAAGAAGGTGCTACCAGTACCTCTAGTCTGACGGGACTATAAACTGGTGATGATCAAATGTATTCTCGAACTTTCCTTGAAATGACTTGACAGAGAACCATATAACATGGTACCATTGGAAACGGTGGACAGAATATCGGACTTTGCCTTTTTCCGATTACTGGAGAGGTTCCATAGGGGTGCACGTGGTGGCTGTGGTTTAAACCCAAATTCGCTGGAAGAGAATGTCGCTTGAAACACCTTTGCACGGTAAAGTCTATAATTCGCGATATGTTCGGTGCTGTTGCCGAGACAACAGATACTCCACAGAGACACAGAGTAAACTCTTACTATCTACTCTCTAAACCAGATTTACCACAGTGTGTCACTGTAAGTAAGAACAAAGTCTCGGCTTATTTGATGGATTCGTACTTCGGTATACCGGTATGAGGCCATCCCGTCTGAGTGGTTGTAAACGGAAGTGATGTTTTTGCATCTCGAAAGTTAAGCAACGGGGCAGCAATGGTCAGAGATTAGATAGCTCAAGTACTTGAGCAAAGTGCTCGTATACTGGACCGGAAATGCCATATACATACGTAAATTGCCACCTGTGTGTAAGAAGCAGAATGGGGCGGTGGTGAGTCGTCACAATAGGCCAACACGGTAGGTGTTAAGTTGGAAATGGGTTGGTGTTGGAAATGAGTTGGGTGTTATTCTCTATGAGTTTGTCGTATGAATGAGAGCTGATATGAATGGCGATGGATAAAAAGTATCTTATACAAGTGTAACCATTGAATTTTCCTTCTTTGTTCAGGTATGTTTAGGGTTTACTCTGTTCATACCAGATTTACCACAGCGTGTTCTCTGTGAGTAAGAATAAGTACTCGTTGCTCCAGGTACATTTATCGACTCAACAAAGGCCATCCCATCTGTGTGGTTAGAGGTGAAGTTTTTGCATTTCGGATGTTAATCAAAGGGGGAGCAATGGTCAGGGATTAGATAGCTCAAGTACTTGAGCTAAATGTAGCGGGAAACACAAAGGGGCGGTGGTGAGTCATCTAGTCAGTTCACCGTGTGGTTGAAAAATACCATTAATACCGTGAAATAACCCCAACACGTAAAGCACTTCGACATCTTGTGGGACTGTAAAGCACATCTTGTGGGACTGTATGTAGAGGAATGAACTGGTTTGGAGTTTTAGAGTGTCTGGAAAGAGGGTGAGGATAATCCAGATATGTTCAGGTAGTACTTCTTGACCCTGTCGTATATGTGGAAATCCACTGAGATAACATTGATTGACATTAATGACAAAAATTAGATAGAAGTAGCGATAGCAATAATCCGAAATTCGATTCCTTATATAATGGATGTTGGTTAGTGTGAAACGTTTATATAACCAGTGGATTCCTCTACATTGATCCGGTTATGTTTGGCGTTGATCATTGTAAAATCCTTGCGTAAGCGATGGATTTTTCTACATTGCTCCGGTTATGTTCGGGGTTTGCTCAGTCCATACCAGACTTCCAAATATGTCTGGTCATGTACAAAAATATAACCTACTTATGCTAATGCTTACAAATATGACAAAATATTATATGACCCCAACGTAACTCCAACGTTCTTCTACACTTGTGGCTAAATATTTAAACATATATTTTATGTTATTTTCTAAAACACGCACATAATTTACATATTTGCGAAATCTCCACATTTCCACAAATGAACAATAATCTATTACTTACAAAGTTTCAAAAAAAAAAAAAAAGAAAAAAAAAACATAATTTTAAATTTCAACAGCATCAGCTACAACATTTTCATAATTAAGACATCATCAAATAAATGCGTATGTGAAAATGAACATTTTAGACTGACAGTTACAAATCATACTATACACAGTTATTTTGAGAAGAACCTTAACAATTAAATATGAAGCATTTTCATCACCCCAGCATGCGTATGCATAAACATTTAACTAATGAGCCATTGTTCGTTCGCTCGCCCAGTAAAACTTAAATCATCATTATTATCATACTCACACCGATGATGATGATGATGATGATAATAATGATGACGTGACGTCTAGTAAAATTGATAATGTGATATACAAAAATTACGTTAAACGGATTGCATTGCTCATGCGGAAATATTGCGCATAAAACGCGTTAAAAAATCCGTTGTACAAATACGCTGAACAAAAAAACTCCATAATAAACAAAGCGATCACCTGTGCACATGGAAATACGTAGTATAACTTTACCAACAATTGCAACATTCACATTTACACATTTGTATCTAGATATAGATATGTATATGTAAACATACTTGCCAACAACAATGTCTATAAACACTAATGACATTTATGTTTTCTGTTTACTTTTAGCTTCTACTGTTAATAGCCCTAACACCTCAAATTAACAAAGTTTCGGCTGCTGCCGCCGCTGGTGCAACAACAATAGATTTAACTACTGTTTATACGCCAATTAGTAAATCTACTGCTGCAGTGGGAGCACGCAGTGTTAAAACTAAACTACTTAAACAACCACCACCGGCACCGCCCACACCTTTGGCCACACATTCTAAACCACAATTAGAACATCAAGCTTTAAAGTCCAACGATGATCTTAATTTAATAGTGGCGCCCTCTAAATCTTATATAACTCAACCCACAACATTACCACCACCTAAGTTACTGAAAAGATCAGGTCAAACGGCTGAATTAAAGCAAAAGAAGCCCTTAAAGGATATTCGCAATCGTACTCAAGAAATTGAAAGATCTTCTAAATTACAAATGGAAGTGGTGAGTTGTTTCGTTATCATAGTTATAGTAACAATAACATATTCATTTATTTCTAGCCGGATCATATACCCGATTCTTCGGGTCACATACCTTATCGTATAAGTCGACCTCATCTGCCACCTCCTCCTTCAGCTTCTGATTATGATACCACAGGTTCTAATCCACCTTCTTCAACTGGCAGTGCAGCTTATCATGCTGGTCCACCTTATGAACCGGAAAAATATCATAGTGAATATTGGGATCGTGATTATAGTAAACAATTTGGACTTAATAACACTAGAGTACAACGTAAGTAAATTTTCTGTAATCACCTATATTGTTCAAACATAATATCGTCTTTATATAACAAGCCAATCGTGAAAATAATGAATAACTGTGATCAGGCAAATTTTCAATCAGAATTCTACTTAATTATCTCCGAAAACCATAAAATAATGCCCAAATGAGATTTTCTAAAAGAGGGGTTGTATGGGGGCAAGGGTAAATATGAGCCTATCCTTTTAAAGATTAGTAGAGGGATTTATTAAAGTTTTTTATGCAAGATTACATTGTAAGGAGGGGCTTTGTTAGGGTCAAAAGCCTTATGAAGGTATGGTTGTATAGGGGCTAAGTAAAATAATGGTCCGATTTTAACTATTTTCAATGTGCCAAATTCGCGCTTATATGGTTTACATGGACTCACTGACGCACAAACAGACGGACATATCTAACTCGACTTAGAAAGTGATTCAGGGCTGATTAGTATACTTTAATGTCGGTGGTGTAACCGCAAAAAAAAGGCTTTGAAGTACTGGCTCCTACGTGAAAGTTGTACTTCAACTTTAGTGGAATGAAAGTGATGTAATTTGTAAGAACATCAGGGGGATTTTGTTGCTCCTCGTTAAAGTCGTCTCTTTTTCAGAGACACCCGACAAACAAGTTCATATATAAGACATCGAGTAGGAGAAAGTACAGAGTCTTGCGGTACACCTGCATAAATCATGAACTCTTTTGATGAGATCCTATCTATAACAACTCGTATAGAGCGATGCCAGAGAAAGCTCGGTATAAACCGAGAGAATTTGTTACCGAAACCAGAAGCAATTACCTTTGATAAAAAGACACAAGTAACTCTCTAAATCTTTGACATGATGTTACCTTTAGAAAGTGCAAAACAAATTTTCAGGATTATTAGCCCCTCATTTCCAGCATGGACCAAGCCAATTTTCCAGCATGGACGAGCTAGCATCGAAGAACACTGCTTAAAGGCCAGTGCTGGAATGCCATCTCGTTAAAATTTTTTAAACTGATCGAGTTCGAAAGAATATTTTGATCCCTTTCCAACTCGAGTATCGGTTGATTGTTTTTCTGAAAGCAAGAGTTGCATGAGAATGGTTTAGCCAAAAGGTTAGCAATATCGATATTGATGAACCAGCATCACCATTTACTCTTTCGATGTCTGATCAAACAGTCCCCGTGTAAGAACCATTGTACTAAGAAAACGTTAAGCTCAGTCCAATGTGTCTTTTCGTACATGTAAGTTGACAGTTTTAAAAATGATTTTGAAAATATACGAAGTCTAGTGATCGAAGAGTATATGGAAATGGTACAGTGAATGGAGTTACCGAGAGGTGCAAGAACATTTACTTCATACTTATCAGGGTATGATGTAAGAAAAACGCCGAGTGTATTATGTTGGTGCTCTTGAACACCAGCAATAACAATTTCATTTCTCGGACAATTGTCTACTTAGAGGCAAATTTTGTCGAGAACTTTGAGATTCTGTATATCATGGTTCATCCGAGAAATTACCCCAGGTAATTCATGGCTATAGGCTTTAAACTGGCTGTCACAAGGGAACTGTGGATCTACATTGAAAGTCCAGTAACCTAAATAGTAACTAAGCAAAATGGTTAAATCTAAGACAGTTTTGGACTGTAAGAGAGCCTTAACCGAATATTCTTCCAAAGTTAAGCTTATCATAATTTTGATACCAAATCACCAGGGAATAATAGCCAACGAAAGGTGACTGTAGTTGCAGTAAAGGAAAGTAATTCGAAAATGGATAAAGACGAATATAGAGCATGAAGAGAGGACAGTGAAATCATAGAACACTTTCTTTGTCATTACCAGGTTTTTCAAAAGAGCTCGCAATTGATCAGGTAACAGGTGTATTTCTTCGGATCTTTTTTAGAAAAAAGCTAAAAATGAAGTAATACGGTAATTTTGAGTCCAATAGCTTGGACTCTCCGAAAGCATGTTTCAAATATTTTGTGATCATTCTTATTTTTAACCAAAAATCGATTATATCCGATTGAATAACGGCCTAATCGAGAAAAACAGCGAAAATTCGCGATCATTCATGTTATCAATCCGGAATGAACGATTTTTTTTGGGAAACGTAAAATCGATTATACATCCTTAAATAATGCAGTTAAGAAAATATCAAAAATCTGTGATCGCTCAGATTTTTCACGAACAATTGATTTTTAAATAAAAAATATAAAATCGGTTGTAGATCATTCCAATCGAGAAAATAGTAAAACAATAAAACTATTTTTGATTCTTTTCCAGATATTGAGGCCGAGTGTCAGGATGATTATATGAAAATTCGCATTGGATTCAATGGTTCTTTTAGCGGTTTGGTTTATTCGGCCGGTTATGCTTACGATCCGGATTGTATGTACATTAATGGTTCAGGCAGGGATTACTATGAATTCTATATACAACTTAACAGATGTGGAACATTGGGGAAGAATGCCTTACACGATGACAATCGTAAAAATCCCACGGTATACTTCAAACTTTAAGACAACTTAAAGTTTACGTTTTAATTTGTATCATTTAATATTTTAGAACTTTATGTGGAACACCGTGACCGTTCAATACAATCCCCTGATCGAGGAGGAATATGATGAACATTTCAAGGTGACCTGTGAATATGGTTATGATTTCTGGAAGACAGTGACATTTCCCTTTCTAGATGTAGAGTGAGTATATGAAAACTTTTTAGTGTTTTTTAATTAAGATGATGAGAAACAAAAAAAAATTTATTAGAAATTTAAATGAATTTGATTCACAACGTAGGGTGGCCACCGGTAATCCAGTTGTCTTCACCCTAAGTCCGCCAGAATGTTATATGGAAATACAAAATGGTTATGGTATAGGAGGACCACGGGTAACGGGACCAGTAAGAGTAGGAGATCCCTTGACATTGATTATTTACATGAGAAGTAAATATGGTGAGTAAAACTGAAATATTCTACCTTTTACCGACTTATTGCTGGTTCCTTAATTAGATGGTTTCGATATTGTGGTAAATGATTGCTTTGCCCACAATGGCGCCAATAAACGTATACAACTGATTGATCAATATGGCTGTCCGGTAGATGATAAATTAATTTCACGTTTTCGTGGTTCCTGGTCAGATTCGGGTGTATTTGAGACTCAGGTTTATGCTTATATGAAAACCTTTAGATTTACCGGTTCTCCAGCTTTATATATAGAATGTGATGTGCGCATGTGTCATGGCAGATGTCCGGTAAATATGATTAACTTAAATTCCACCAACAGTTTTAAAACTTTTTATTCCTTTACCAGAGTCAACCCTGTCATTGGCGTAATTTGAAAACTGTTACCAAACGTGATCTTACCAATATAACATCAGATACCACCGCCACTGCTGCAGTGGCAGATGTTGTTATGGAGACCACCGATAAACCTGATGCCCCTCTATCGGAAAATGTTAATCTCTTCCAGTCACTGCGTGTTCTACAAGAAGGTGAAGCAGATGATGATGGTTCCTATACCTATGCTCGACGTTTGGAGGCAAATCCCAATCAAACTTGTTTGAAAACAAGTACTTTCTCTGCTATGACTGCTACTTTTTCAGTTATGCTTTGCATATTATCTGCTTCCCTAATGGTGGCCTGTTCACGTTTGAAACAGCGTAAAAAGGATTCATTATATGATACATACGTTACGCATAAAGGACAAATCGATTGAGTATTATTTAATTTAGATTTTGTTTCTTTGATTTATTTCTTTGTAAATATTATTTTTAATAATGATTTTTATAATTAAATGATAAGTTCTATTTTAGTATGATTTAATTTTGTTAAGTTTTAGATATATACACTTATGATACGAAAAATACTTTTTTATATACATATTTAAATGCATTACATACGAGTATTATTAATCATGATAGAATAAAGATTTTTTTATACAATAGAGGTTAATTATGAATTTGAATTGGTTTTAAAGGGTTAAAAAAAGCATTTAAATCGAGAAAGTAGGAAAAATCTGAAATCACTTTTTTATATGTCAATTGAGAAAAAATCAAAAAAATAGTTTTTTCGTTTGAGAGGTAATTCCTATATGAGATTCTTGAAAAGGCGGTTCCTCTACTAAACTAATCAGTAAACTAAGTTGTCCATAAACTAATCCATTGACTAGTCCTTATATTCTAAAGACTAATCAATAGACAATACTACTCAAAATAAGTTTTTTAGTAAAATTTAAGACTACGCAGGCTAATACAATTTTAAAAAACTTGACATTCAGAGAACAAATTATACTTTTCTGATTTCGTATTTACGCCTTTATTTTAATGTCTCTATACTCTGGAGTGGGCCTTATATGGGGGGTAGGGGTAATTTTTAGACTGATTCTCATAAGATTCGGTAAAGAGATTTGCGCTCATAAGAAACTTACTTTTGTCTAATTTCAGTGCTATAATCGTGCTTTAAAGCTAGTAGCGAGCGTTAAAGTCTTTTTCAGAGGGTTACTTTATAGGGGAGTAGAGTCAATTGTGGACCGATCCTTATAAAATTTGGTTCATAGATTTTAACTCATAAGAAACTTGTTTATGTCGAATTTAATCGCTATACTCTTATAATTAAGGCAGTAATGAGCGTTAAATAATAAATAATTTTCTGAAGGGGACCATATATGAGTGGTAGGGACCGATCCTCATAAAATTTGGAAGACAGAATTCGCTTCATATGAGGGGGGTAGGGTAAATTATGGACCAATCCTTATAAAATTCGATAGACTAGTCAATGGATTAGGTAGATTTTTGATCGTGAGAAACTTAATTATATCAAATTTCATCGCTAGACTCGTATTTTTAAGCCAGTAATGGACGTTATAGTCATTTTTTGGAGGGGACCATATACATATGACGGGTAGGGACATTTATGGACCGATCCTCCTAAAACTTGCAAGAGAGAATTTGCCTTATATGAAACTTATTTATGTCGAATTTCATCGCTATACTTGCATTTTTAAAACAGTTATGGCTGTTAAAGCTGTTATCGGGGGCCACTTGTATGGGGGCTATGCGAAAACGTGGAGCGATATTGCCTATTTTCAATACCAAACAAACCTACATATAAGAAATATTTGTGGAAAATTTCTACTCTCTAGCTCTTTCCGTTCGGATTCTATCGTGCTTTTAACAGACGGACGGACATGGCTAGATCGTCTTAGAATTTCATAAGGACCCAGAATATATATACTTTTGTGGGTCTATGATCAATATTTCGATGTGTTACAAAAGGAATGACAAAATCAATATACCCCCCATCTTTTTATATGGTGGGTATAAAACGGGTGTTTTTCATATTTTAGGATTTGAGGCCAGCTGCGGATTCAGCTTAATTATTTACAAAACAAGTAAGAATGTGTAGTAGGGCTTGGTCGACCATAGAATACCCTAAACTAATGAATAGCATGTAAAAATTTGAATTTTTTAAATAATAAAGCATTTAAGTTGTTTTTTGTCTTTATTCTGAAATATTTTAACAATTTGTTTGTCAAACAAAGTGCTTGCCCTAAAGAGGGGTTATTCGGGGACAATTGTAAATATGGGCCTATCCTTATAAATATTGATAAATGGATTTATGTTCACATTAATGTTTTTTATGCAGAATTTTATTGTGATATTAGCGTTTATAAGTGTGTTATTGAACTCCAGGCAATTTTCGGAAGGAGACTTTATATGGGGACTAGTGTCAAATGAGGCCCGATCATTACGAAACTTGGCAATTATGAGCTCAAAAGCTCTTTTCGGTGTACGATTATATGGGAGCTAGGTGAAAGAATGGACCGATTTTAATAATTTTCAATATCATATCAATTTCATCAAATTATGTTGAAAATTGCGACCAGTAGCATGCGCACAAGTTTTATATGGACACACAGACGGACAGACAGACAGACGGATGGTGAGCCGATTGATATAAGGTGGATGTAGCAAAAATCTTTTTGTCTTCGGCAATTATGAGCTCAAAAGCTGTTTTCTTATAAGAGCTAGGTGAAATGATATACCGATTCCAACTATTTTCAATAGCGCTCGACCTTTGATTAAATTATCTGGAAAATTGCGACCTTCAGCATACGCACAAGTTTTATATGGACAGACAGACAGATGGACGGACGGAAGGACAGACAGACAGACAGACAGACAGACAGACAGACAGACAGACAGACAGACAGACGGACAGACAGACAGACAGACAGACGGAAATACATAGCTTAATCGAACAAGAGTGAGCCGAGCCGATTGATAAACTGTAAGGTGGGTGTATAAAAATTTGTTTGAGTGTAACAAACATCAGCACAAACGAATAATACCATTCCCACTATAGTGCTGTAGTGTATAAAAAGGTATACGTAAGTTTATGGGTTAACATTTTATCTAATTGGTGTACATTTGAGCTGAATTTGTACGATTGACTTATGACAAAAAAAGTACAATTGTTATATTTTTACCAACCCTAGATCTAGATCCATAAATAACTTCTCACTAAAGTTAGTAACGAAAATTCTGTGATCACTTATATCTTCCAACAAAATTAATAGATGTAGAACCTAAATAAAGAAAAGAGGTTGAAGTCTTAAAAACATCCACATTTACAGAAGGCATTGCCATATTAAACACCTAAACTCAAGGTTGTTGTCCGGGCTAAATACAATATTATAATACAGCATATATTTAGGCATAAAAATAAATATTTTTTAATACACTGCAAAAAAACAACAAGAAATAAGGAAAATTTTTATGAACCTGCGCTTTAAAAATAGAAACAAGTTAATAAAAGAGAATTAGCAAAAAATAAACAAAAAACAGCTGCTGATAAACAAAACAAGCATGCAAATTATTTGTAAACAAAGTTAAGGGTTTAAAAAAATTGTTTACATTTTTTGTGGTTAAGAGAGTTAAAGTTCTCTCTCTCACTTTACCTTTTGAGTAAACCTGCGCTTTAATTAAGAGAACAGCATCCTGTTTTCTGACAAATTAAAAGAAGAAAAATTGATTTTTTCATACAGAATCCTGGGTACATCCATTAAAACAAGATGTAAAGTCTATTAGTTTTAAAAAGGATATACAGATATGAACACAGCGCATTAAAATAAGCCAAGAAAAGTGGAAATTTGCAAAAAAGGAAAAATATTTAAATAATTTGAAAAAAAATTAAAATTTTAAAGAAAATTTAAGAAAAGGTAAAAAAAGAAAAGTGTTTTTATTAACAAAAAAAAGTGTTTGTTATGTATAAAAAATATGAAAATTAAATGAAAATTTTGTTTGTATATGTATTTTTCTTTACGCCTATATAAGGAAAGAAAGAAAGAAAAAAGAAGGAAAAGGCGTAGTCTCTTTTTTTCCATTAGCAGCCAAAGGGAAAAATCAATTTTCTTTAAAATAACACAAAATTAAATTAACAAAATGACAATAATTTAATTATTGTTTTATAAAAAAAATCTTGAAAGGAAGTAAGTAAAGGATTTCTTAGCTAAACATGGATATCTTTAAACTCCCTGGTCTGGGCGTAACCCTGGCTATAGTGCTTTTAGCATTTGCCTTAACTTCAGGTATGTAATACTTTCTATATAAGTAATATTTGAGAAAATTTAGTTGAAAGTATAATGAAATGCCTTTTTGAGAAAAAAAATAAATTATTATGAGTTTTATTTTAATAAACAAGTTTTAAGTTGTATTTGTTTTAATTTAATTTAAAAGTTTTTATTTAGTTAATTAAATAATTTCAAAACTCCTTAAAACAATTTAGCGAGTTATGTAACAGCTTCCCCCCCCCCCAAAAAAAAAGTATATAAGTATATATCTATACGAATAACAAAAATACGCAAAACTGTAACAGAACAAAGAAAAACTAATGAAAAACAGTTCAAACAAAAATCAATTACAAAGGCAATTGATTACCAGTAATAGAACAACTACAAAAATGATTTGATTTTTTTCTAAAGTTTGAAAACTTAAAATGAAAACTTTGACAATTGTTTAAAATTTCCTAAAAAAAAAAAGTTTTTTTTTTGGGCCAGGACTTTATAACTCTTTTTCCTACTCTACTACTACTTCAACTGCTAAACAAATACTGTGTAATAAATTTTATAAAAAAAGGAATTTTAAAATTTGCCAAAGTTTTCTTACTTTAAAAAATGAAAAAAAAACTTAAAAAACTATTTAACAAAAACACCATTTTAAAACCATATTCCCTCAAAAAAACAAAGACCTTGCAAAAAGTATGAGCTTTTGATTCTTTATAAAAAATATTTTAACAAAAATTTGCTAATTTCTTAAGTACTGCATTTTATAATTAGTTTTGCTTGGTTACAAAAAAAAAAACAAACACAAAAATATTTAACAAATATTTATCTAACAAAATTAAGCATAGTAACTAATTTTTAATATTTATAATAAATAATACCCAAAAAGTTCCCCTAAAGGATTATTTTCTTTAACTAAATCGAGACTATAGAAAACTGTATTTAGCATCTACTCTAAGTTTTATATAAAAAAAGTAAATTTTTTATAGCATCCCTACTCTCTCTCTCTCTTTTTTTTGTAACTTAACTATAACTGCTTTCCCTTGGTTTATTTTTTTTTTCGTTTAATTTTCTCTCCTTTACGTACCTGAAAACGCCAAAAATTCAAGCAAAGTAAACCTAAAAAAAACCAACTTTGCTTTTAAAATAAGGGT